ATGGTGCAAAGCCTCTATTAAAAAAAACCGATCACTATCCAGGGTGATATAAAATTACCCTCTTTAAATGTAAAATTGTACAGTGTACAGATATATAGTGGCTCTTTGTAGACTACACAAGAAGCTCATGTTGGTGTCAACCATTCATTATTTATTGACGGGGGATGGATGAGAAAAGGTGGCCTGACATTGTTATTCACTTAATGGGGGACCTGAATTTATTACAGATGTATGATACTGGGGGTAGGGTGGGTCATTTTCCCCCACAAATTATTTTGGAAAATTGGGGGGGGGGGGGGTTGGTTTGAAAAGATTGAAAATTTCTTCCTCCTATGAATAATGAATGGTCTATAGTTTTATTTTCGGAATTATTAAAATTCATACAGTAGAGAACCTTTAATATTAATATATCTTAATAAATAGTAATATGGATGATAGTTATAGAAAATCCAAATAAGTGTTAATAGTTAAATTGAACAAATGATTGACCATTCCAAATTGACAAAGACACCCATGTTGATTGTATTAATACCTTCAATGATGTATGTCTGAACATCGCTCCATTTTTTCAGTTCGTACTGGTCATAAGCACCCTTTATGCATCCAAATGTAAATCCCATTCTGATTCCAATGCACAAAACAACCAAATCAAAATGTGACCAATTTGAATAACTAAATAGAAATATTGTTTGGACTGACTATACTCTCATACATGTGAAAACACTTTTATGTCTCCTAGTCAACAAGAGGCTAGTTAGTCCAGAACAATAGCTATTTGAATTAATCACCATATATCATTTCAGTGTATGGGATTAACCATCCCAATACAACACTTTAAGCAGCTATAATAATATCCAATATCTCACTTATACATCCCTTAAATCTATTATATACTGTATGTACATAAACATATTGATTAATACAGTCACGAAAAGCATTAATATAACCCTTTCGATTTTTTAATAAAATGATTTGTTTAAAAAAATTGAGTTTGTTTGATGTGTTCTCTCCTGTGCTATGAGGTTTTTTCACCGGGTCCTATAGTTTTCCTCCATCCGTAAAATCAGAGGGCCATATGTTAGATAACTCATTTGGTTGATACATCTTTACCCTCTTTAAAGAATAACAGCCATGGTACTACTTGGTAAATCAATCGAAGTTTTTTAAAAATTCAACACAGCGGTGTTGACTGTCAAAAAATATTATCATCATTTTACTAACCAGATCAAAAAGTGTTCCAGATGAAGGGCAAGATGTGGTATGATGCCATCAATGACAGAAAGTCCTGCCGATGAAGCTCTAACTCCCCTGGATATTAAAAACTACAATTACAATTCTGCAGAATTCTGCACTTTCAACAAATGTATGACCACTGCATTTAATTTATTTGCATACTTCTATCCAAGGACTTTGTGCTGCCAAACAAGCTTTTTCATGCCTTATTTGGTAAAACAAGCCAGCTTGGCATAGAAATGTGTTGGCTTAAACACCATTTAGCATTTTTGCTTTTCTTATCCCTTCCTTCCTATTCCATCCTCCCTTCCTCCACTCCCTTGATCCCATCTTCCCTTCAATCCCTTTCTTCGTCTCCCCATCTCCCCATCTGCCATCCTCCCATTTTTTCATTCTTATTCCCCCATTTAATCCTTGCTCCTCCTTTCCTTCCTCTGTCTCTCCCTCTCTCTTTGACAACATACACTGTAGGTACATGCATGTAATTGCTACAGTCTAAAAAGAGCAGTAAGGACAAAAGATCGTATTGACCGCATCCATTACACAACCATACAGTTTGTGTTCACTGGATGTGTTACAAACGCTCTCACATGCTGCAATAATTTTAGGCGGTACTGTACCTGTCATCTAACTCAAGTAATCCTGCATCAATGAACTCTTCAGCTTCCTGACAGGAGGAGAAAATGTCTCTCAGATTGCCAATGTCCTTTCCAGCAAACTTTGACCATGTCTGTTAACAATTAATAACCAGATTTACATCTTTAGTTGAAATCATGCATACCCCTGTGCATAACACTCACTTGTTTTATCAAACCAAGGCCACACAAACAAATGTTTCACAAATTTTCCAATGATCTTAAAGTGACATTCTCTGATATTTGAAATATTACATGTCAAATGGTTATAAAACTAAATAAAAACTATTAATACAAAGGTGATTACCTTGTTAGTGACTCCATTTTTTGTTCGCAGACCTGAGACCAATATTTCTTCTAACCTAATGAAAAAGTGAGCTCTGTTAATTAATAGGCTCATTGAAAAAGGATGCAGAATCTGCAGAAAGCTTGTTTTCCTAAACTGAAATTTCTGCTTCTCTCCCCATTGATCCCCCCTCTCTTCTCTCTACTTCCCTCCCACTCTATCCTGTCTCCCTGCTTCTCTCCCCCTCTCTTCCTTCCCCCTCTCTTCCTTCCCCCTCTCTTCCTTCCCCCTCTCTCCTCTCTCCATCTTTCTCTCTTCTCCCCCCCCCCTCCCCCTTCATCCTTTCATTCCTCTTTCTTTCCCACTCTCTTCGATTACTTACACTTCACTGGTCGATTGTGGAATGGACTGCCTTGTTCCATGGCCAAAATGCTCTACCTTGAATAAAACAAACACTATCATTTAGAAATTCTTAAAGCAAAATCGATTCCATCAACTTACTGATAGCTTTTTCATCAAAATAAAAAGGTAAATTGGTGGTGAATTACGTGACTCTAATACCTCTGCCATCCATGAATTCGGCTCCAGCGTTTGAATTCTTGCAAAACGTGTTTTTGTCCCATTTGACTCTAAAGGAAACCTAACATACAGGTAGGTAAGTGAGTTTCAGTCTGAAGGCTGTAGGTTTAAATTCCATTGAGACCGCAAAGTGACTTGTGTGCACATCAGAGTACATTGGACTTTGTGCTGGTGATTTCCTGCTGGCCCTATATGGGTCGGGCCCATRGCAGCATTAGAGAGAGAGAGAGGCTACTAAATATCAAGACTCAGATCAACACTTTTACTCTTACAGTGACTTATAAATTACTAAACTGTGTTGTATTTTCCAGTTGAAGTCCCCCTCACTTCCACACTTTTTAGGGTGTTCTTCAGTCTTTGAAAAATCAAAAACATATGTGCTTTTGCACAGTACCTTCCATGTGCCCCAGGTCCAACACCAAGGTAAGCACCTCCATTCCAGTATGATAAATTATGTCTGCTCTCTGATCCCTGACAACAATATCTGAATTAATACAGTATACCATGGCAGCTTTCTATTTTAAATCATTTTCAAATTTGTATTAACAGAAGATACAAAATAGGAATTTGGGAGGTATGAGGGTAAGAATTGTACAATTGTTCACAAATTAGCAAGTTCAGTAGACCATAGACCTACAAAACTTTGTACTAATGTGTACAATTTTGCTAGTTAACTTTTTCACAGAAATATGGTGTGCACTCACCCATCGCCCATCAGCCTGTTGCATGGTTTTTTGCAATCAGCAGGTAGCAATAAAAACAGTGGCAATCCCAAATGTTTTGTAAATGTTTTAGAGAAGCATTATTATGCAATGCAGGTTTGTCAGTAATACAGTACTTACATGCTTTGCAAAGTTGGAAACTTCATATCTGTGAAAACCTTCTCCTTCTAAGACCTGAATGACATCATTATAACACACAAGATATCATGAGTGCAACATTTCTTTTTTTTTAAAGAGGGCACCTAGAGGCTCAGACTGACACCCACTAAAACTGCTGCTGCACTGCAAAATTGCAGATTTAATATTATAGAGATTTTTATTGATTTCTGTAACATTGCCTGCTACCAGGTTTATTGTAAAAACAAGCTGAAACAACAGTAAGTTGTAATGTGTAGTTCCAGAAATTATCCATCCCCCTCCCCTCCCCCTGAGGAATTAGGAACTTCCAAGGGGGTGGGGGTGGGGGTGGGGGGTGGTAGTTTCAGAGAAAATAATTACAGAGTTTTTATGAAAGAACATTGGAATTTCTGGAGGTAGGGGACAGCATTGAAAAAATTCCTCTGTGGGGGCAGGGGTATGGATAATTTCTGGAACCACACAATGATGTAATGTTCTCAGCCAATGAAATGAGACTTTTGCTTGTGCCACAATCAGAATTACAATGTGATGTGTAATTAGGTTTTCCTAATTCATCTCTTTGTTGATGGAAATAAAACATTGCTATTGTTATTCATCAAAAATTAAACATTGCAAAAACATTCAGAATAAGGTACTGTATATCTAAGTGAAAAATAACTAGTGACAAAAAGAGTTGACAAATTTCATACTCACTTGTACAGCCTTGTGATAAAGATCTGCCATGGTATCAATACCTGGTAAGGACTATCATCAAGCACAAGAAAAAATACATTCAGGAGATGATGCTAATGATATTTTGCCATTGTAGGCCAATATTGGGTTGATAAAAAGACTTGAATTAATACCTATAATTACTGATCTTTGATGTGACTCCCTTAGCTGTTAATGGAAAAGAGCAATGAAATGTATAGAGATGACAGCAACAATAGCTAAGTTCTACTTACCAGATGTCCTGCTTTAACACTTTTATACAAAGGTGTTCCAGCTTCTAATGTTAACTGATAAAGGGACACATGTCTATTGGAATGCACCAGAACCTATTACAAGGCAATAAATAGTTCTTGTTTCTTAGGGTTCACAAAAAACCATACCCAAATTTTCATACACTGTATTTTATGCCATGGTACTTCTGACTCCACTCATGTACATGTAAGTGGGGAAGCCAAACTAAGTGTTACTCTGACATACCCTTAGAATATCTCAAAATCAAACCATCTGTCTAATTAGAGATAGCTGTAACTATGATGTATGAAGATGTTGATACTGTAATGGTGGTGGTGTGGTGATGATGATGATGCTGATGATGATAGTGGTGGTGATTATGATGGTGATGATGGTGTTGGTGATGATGATGTACTAAGGTAGTGATGATGATGATCCTGGTGATGGTGGTGGCAGTGATGGTGGTGGTAGTGATGATGATGATGGTGTTAGTGGATGTGTGATAATAATAATAATAATAATAATAATAATAATAATAATAAACTTTGTTTATAGAGGATAACACTTGACAGTAATTCAACTGATAAACTTGTGGTCCTCTGTGAACGTCTCTAGTTAATTAGGGATGGGACCGCCATTAACATGATCATCCAAGCCACGTGAAGGTCTAACCATTTGCAGATGTAATTACAAAGCCAGCACCTTCTCCTCAGTTATTTTAAGACCCTGAGTGTTGGTCTGGCCGAGGCTTGAACCACGACCTCCCGCACAACAGACCAACGCTCTTACCAACTGAGCTAACCGGGTGGCAGTCAGTATCAGTACCTGTGATACATCTGGTGGTGGTGATAAATCTTAATCATGGAGGAAGGAAGACCAGCTCATGTTTATGATATTTCTATTTCTTAATAACCTGCATCTTAAAATGGCTATCAGTATAGTACTACTACGCCATAGCCACTACATTTAAAAGGTCATGGACACAGTACCTGTTGCAGTTCTTTTTCCCATTCATTCACAGATTGTCCTGGTCTTCCAAACAATAGATCAATGGACACTCTTCCTGGAAACAATTCCTTAGCTATTTCCAGGCACCTAAACAACATTGAACAACCTTAGTAACACTAAATTATGTGTCTTATGGTGGCAAAGGGTTCTAAGCCTTGTTTTAGCCATTCCAAGGTTGAGAGAAAAAAACTAGGCCAAGTTGTCATTGCAAAGTATTATGGGATTAATTCATGGGACATTTTTCAAGCTAGCTTATATTCAGAACCCTAAACATTCCCATAATGCTCTGCAATGCTATCTCAACCTATTTTTTTCTTAACCTCAGAGCTAATGTATCTTCTTAAATGAGGTAGTTGTGTGAAAATATGACATGAATGACAGTGTGACTTAAAACCAGTACTAGTATTATATGTTCACTCTCTTTTGGTTTTACAATTATGACACATCTAGTGGGTATTCAGAGAATATCCACTGGCTTACTTCCTGCACAGGAATGATGCACAAACCCGGGGGGGGGGGGGACTCCAGGAAAAAAGTACCAGGGATGCTCGTCAGAAATTTTCAAAAAGACCCTTAAAAGATGCCGGAAGTCTTTAAAAAAGGGCATGGCTGAATAATTTTTAACCCCTAAGAGATACCACAACAAATAATATTAAATTTTATATAAAAAGCGCCTAGGATAAGTCATATTGGTGCGCGCTTCTCTCCTTTTCCGGCACCCTAAGAGATACCAGAAAATGCTGATTTTCAAAAATTCGCATTTAACACCCTAAAAGATACCATATCACGAATTTTTCCCCCTAAGAGATATGACAAGCATCCCCGGTACTTTTTTCCCGGGTGCACAAATGTCATAATTAGCATCTCCTAGTAAAAATGAATTATTAAAAATCAAATCTGTACTTTTTTCAGCTGACCTCAATGATTCCTCAGCAGTGTGATCCCTACCAAGCAGAGCAAGGTCTTTGGAAGATAATGACTGCAAATACAAATTAGCTTTTTTTAACATAAACCTGCCAGATTTTAACTGGTAATATATTGGTATACCTTAAATCTCTTTAGGGCTAAAAAATAATTGCTGGTCAATTGCCGATCATGATACCTGGTCAAAACAGTTTTAGCTTGACTGGCGGCAGCCTTTTAATGATACAGTAGTTAGTTGAATCAAGGGTGGTGTAGGTTGGTAATACACATGCCTGACATCTATATCTCTACCTGTATGGACTCAGGTTTGATTCCTGAACTCATGATCGCCTGTGAGTAGGGTTTGTTGGGTCTATCCCTTGATTTAATGGTTTCATTCTGAGTTCTCTGGTTTTCCTCCCTCTGCAAAACATGCTAATTTCCATGCACTATGTAGATATACAGTTACCTGTAAACCAAGAGAAAGGCGATTAACACCAGCCGCTTTGAAACTCCTGAAAATACAATCAATAAAAACAAGATTAAAGATCTATGTATTATAACATGTATTGTACCTGACCTAAAAGTATTCCATTTTTACCACAACCTCTTGAAAGAATTCCTTCCTTCGATTTATCAACTTGGAAAACTATATGCAGAATTTGATATATTGAAGTGTATTGAAAAATGAGTATTTCTCATATCACCATTTGATAAGTTCATGTTCCAAGAAAACAGTTTTCCATTTCTGTTATTATACCTGACAACCTCATTTTTTCCTGCACATTTATATCCCATGCATGGCAATATCAAAAGTCTGTTTACCTGAGTTTTGAAATCTCTGAAGATGAAGGATTTGCTTCCAAAGAAACTTCAGCATCTTGATCCAATTGGCAGAGGTGGCTTACAGTGTCTAATATGGCTGATATTGTAGATGGTTCAGCCAGAGAGGGAGTGCCTAATGCAATGGACGGCAGAATAAATAACAAGGAATGTGGCAGACAGACAGTGAAAGCCAAATCAGCCATTGCATGAGATGACATGTCACTGTGAAATACTAGAGATTTCAAATCCCTGAAATGCAGGTTAAAAAATAATTAAATAGCAATGTAGAAATTATGTCACTGCAAAAATGGTGTGTCATTAAGCCTGCGAAAATTGACCAATTAAAAACAAAAAAATGCCCACCACTGCAATAAAAATGTAAAACTCCCTAATTCTTTTGTTACTGTTATAAAATGCTCTTAAAGGTTTTGCACCATCAGGTGACGGCAGCCATGAAAGAAAGAATCCAATTCCCAAGAGCAAAGGGATCTTGTTGTTATGCTATGTAAACACAGGTTGTCCAAGCTGTATTGGGTGCCTGTGATGGTGCAAAGCCTTTATGAGTAACATTTTTTCTTTCATTTCGTTGCCTGCAAATAAATAATTTCGCAAAAAAATGTGACACCTCAGTTATACAAATTTAACATAATTTTCTATCAGATAAGCTTGATAAGGTTGGAGTCCACTCCATGCTATACAGAGTAAAATGGCTATCATTTACCTCCCCCAAAGTATACAGACTTTACTATAGTTGCACCAGACAACTTAACAAGTGTCTTGAGTTCTGTGACCAAACAGTCTCTCATCCTTGCATGGTTTACGTTTTCTCTGTAATGTGAAAAAACAATTAAAATAGCAAATATAGCATGTGTCGAATGTTCAATGTAGGAGAAAGAATAGGGAGAAACACCCAAGGCTGAAATTACCAGCCAGTCCCCAGACAACGTCTGTCCAAAATTGTCAAATCTTTGGCAGTGACCACATACAGTACAGTACCTACTCTCCATATGATAAGCAGCTCTTATTAAAGCATCTCATTATAAAGTGCCTTAGATCATATCCATATGGAATACGAGCACCACATACATTATAAATTATAAGAATGTAGCAGTATATTGTAAATATTACAAGTTGATAAAGGTACACATAAATAATATCATTCAACTTACTAGTACCTTACATATTTGTTGAAATTGCAGAAGGTGCACAGTTGCTTACAAAATGGCCACTACAAAGAAAAATACCAAACATTAAACATTTCATCTGCTTATCATAATTCTTTCCCTCACTCAAAATATTCTGTCTCACTGGAATGGAATTTTAATATTGCAAAGGTACAGTTTCACAGTGGGGAGGGGAAGGGGAGGGGGAGGGAGAGAGGGGAGGAGGCATGAGTCTGATAAAATAGGACTATTATACAGCCACTTCCCCCGACTCCCTCAGGTCTTCCCATATCGCCTCTTCCCAGCCCCATAAAAAAACTGAGCTATCTTTATTGTTACCACATAAACTAACTATATTTCACTTACATGCACATACACGGTGAATTTCTCGGGTTCCTCGTTCTTGTTGGCATCAAGGTTTTTAGTCAAATTCCCATGGATAAAGCTAAAACTGTTCTTGCGAATGACAAACACTTGCTGGTCTGAGAAAAAGGTCAAAGCGCGCTGGACATTTCTGCCAAAAATTTGAGAATTACGCAACATTCTTCTACTTAAAACAAAGCGCACAATTATTTTATCTTGCGCCTCCCTCTCATGTTGCTCTTTTTAAAGTTTTTAGAAGACGAAACAACGTCCTTTTTACTCCATCATGGAACATTTTCATTTGCACACACAGAGAGCCGCCATCTTGTCCGTCATCTTGGAACGCGCGCGATGAATGGATTGGTAACAAATTAACCCAGTCGTCCGTTAGAGCCTGAGTAGCACCAAAAAATTTCAAAAAAATCATAAAAAATATATTAATCCTTATATTCAGCGACCTTATCCATGTTGATACTTAAAAATATTTTGATATTTAATCTTTTTAGCTTTTCCTTTGAAAAAATCCTGATTTTTTCTATAGGAGGACATAGACCGTGGAGGTCTGGTAACTAGATAAAAATTTGGCGGGAAAAATCGAAGGAATAAAAACAAAATGGTGGATGATGATGTATAAACAAGACGTTATTTATATTTTAGAGATTTCGTTGGATCATGGAAAGTAAAGCAGCTTTTAAACCGGTAAGAACCACCATGACATAACTCTTATTGAGGTATATCTTCCAGGGTAATTATTTACAAGGATTTTTCTTTTCTTTTCGTTTCTGAACAAATTTTTGAAGGGAACCATCAACAAGCTTCTCCAACAATCCTTTCAAGACCAACAAAAAACAAAAGGTATCTTCATTAATTCTTTCAGTCCTGTTTCAAATGCTATGGTTTAATCAGATGTTTATTTGGGAAGAGTTTGATAACTAAAAATTGTTCAAAAAAATTATTAATTTAATTCATTTATTGTCTGGAAGGAAAATAAAATGGAAGTTCAATCTTAATATTATGCTTACCTCTTGTATGTAGTAAATGGTGATGCACTGAAACTCATGTCAGAGATGTTAAGAACGTTTGTAGCTGAGGCTGCAGCAAGAGCTGGGAAGCAAGCAAAGGTATATAGATCTATCTAAAGACCCCTTGCATGTGACGTCAAAGGAACTCAATCTGGGGGTCATGTATGGTCATGAAGCAGCCCTTAATTTTTGGCCTGTATCTCCACAAAAATGCAATACAAGTTGCAAGCATTGTTGCCAAGTGTAACTCTAACAGCTTTTACCCTGAAGATAGACCAATTTGTATCATACTTTTATCAGTGCAATTTTGTCATTCTTGATTATTACAGGCAGAATCTGCATCAACTGTACAGACTGAACACTTGGAGAAAATACTCCCTCAGCTGGTAATACGAAATTAATAAAATATTCACCTATCTACTGCTATTCTTTAATTAAATAAAAAGAACATCCATACACAAGATAATGTAACCACAGGAATTTGTTCAACAAGTACCATGTGTCAAGCAAGTGCATTATCACAGCTAACTTCTGACACATTACACTGAGGGACATAGCAAGGCGGATCAAGTGGGCCTATCCCCTAGTATATACAATATATTAATAAAAAATACTGTACAAAAACAATAAGACCCCAAATTCAATCAATAAGGTTGTGTGACACCTTAACCTTAAACAACCTAACAACAAATTTGGGGCAAGTAATTCAAAACAATACAATTGAATGTATACTTGAGTGACTCTGGATATTTAATGTAGAATGTGTTTAGGGTGGTTTAGTGTGGTGTGTATAAATAAAGGATGTTGGATGTACGTAGTGTGTGAGGATCATGTGTGTGAGGATCATTGGCTTTGTGTGTACCCTGAATGAGACCCTATTTTACCTTTCATACTCTCAACTTCTTTCCCAAAAATGACTAATATATTTTAGGTTCATGCATCATGTATGTCAATTTATTTATTTATTTATTTTTTTGTACCCCTATTTCAAAATCTTTTTCTTTTCTCTCTTTCAGCTGCTGGATTTTTGAAACATGTAAAACTTATATAGACATGTAACAAGCTTTGCTATTAAGAAACTTTTGTTTTCAATATCTTTTTTATGTGATCCCCATACAAATGATAGAAATATTTGGATAATTAGATTATTTTTACAATGAACAGCTGTCAAAATTTTGTCCTTCTAGACGTAATGCACTGTTTTCCATTTCAGACCTCATGTCATTTCCTTGAGTATTAATACTTTTGTGTTCATTAGTAATGCTTGAGCAGATACATTATTATGTATGGATGACATTCAAACAAAGAAATCATTAATCTCAAAATGATATGTGGCCTGAAAATGGGAAATCATTGTGCAAACATATTTCTGGGTCCATTACTGCTCATGGAAAAAACCACTCAAATAACGCAAAAAAAAATTTGACACCTGAAACAATTAAAACTTTAAACAAATCGTACAAACCGTTTTGGACCTGGAAGTCTTTTTTCCGTAAAATTTACATCACGGTTAAAAGCTCTATATTTCATGCATTTCTAAGAAGCAAAGGGCAAATCTTGAATAAAAAGAGTTCTGAAGCAACAGTCATTATGATACAAAAGATAAACATGATAAAGGATGGGCCGACACTTGTTCCATTTGGTAACTTAAATGGTACTCCTCCGATCTCTGGCATGTGAAAACCAAGGGGAAAGACAATAGCTGCTAGGTTGAATAAGGCCACTGTAAAGGAAAAATGGAATAAAAAGTGTTGTCTTGCAATGAAAATTAAAAAGAGAAGAAATATTTGAAATAGTATTTTTCTTTTTCAATATTTATCATCAGATTGGGAATGCATAAAAAATGGGAGGAACTGAATTTTTTTCCATTCACTTTAGGGACCAAAATTACATAATAAATTACAGTACTGGGAGAGAAAGCTTGGGTTTTGAAGCTTTTTTTTTTTTTCCAAATTGGGAGGGCTTCTCAAATGTCCAGCTTTTCTAGAACATGGGAAATAATTGCAAATGGGAGAATTAAAAGGAATAAAACTTGTTGCTCATTTCTCACATATCCCCTTGCCATAAATCTAAATGGATATAACTAGCTAAAAACTAGTGTGAGCTGCGTCGGT